ATTAAATTAAATTAAATTAAATTAAATTAATTAAATTATTTATTTATTTATTTATTTTGTTTTAATTAGGGAGAGTCTGCGGTGCGCGTACACCTCAATGAAGACGCTTCTGCCCACCTCAGCTTCACCCGGACCTTCCCAGCAGCAGCAGCAGCAGCAGCAGCAGCAGCAGCAGCAACAGCAGCACCTGCTGCTGCTGCTGCTGCTGCTGCTGCTGCTGCTGCTGCTGCTGCTGCTGGCAGCCCCGAAGACTTCGCGCGGGAAGTGGTGAAGGGAATAGCAGCAAATGAAAATTTGCTGTCGGAGGAAATTCAAAAGTTTGTGGACCTCAAGGGTTTGTTTTTTATTTATTTTATTTATTTTATTTATTTACTTTTATTTATTTATTTTTATTTACTTTCATTTATATTTACGTGTTTTATTTGTTTGTTTGTTTATATTTATTGATTTTTATTTTATTTCGTTTATTTTATTTTTTTAGTTCTTTTTAAATCTTTTCTTTATTCTTTTTTTAATTCTTTTTATTTCTTTTTTTAATTCCTTTTAATTCTTTGTTCTTTTAATTGCCCTTAATTCTTTTAGTCCTTTTTAATTCCTTTTGATTCTTTTTAATTCCTTTTTTAAATCCTTTTTAATTCGCCTTTTATTCTCTTCTTTTTTTAATTTTTTTTAATTTTTTAAATTTATTTTTGTCTCCTTTTATCTCCTTTTCCCTTTTCTTTCTTACCAACTCCCTCAGAGTTCATTATTTATTTATTTATTATTTATTATTTATTTATTTATTATTTATCTATTATTTATTTATTTATTTATTTATTTATTTATTTATTTATTTATTTATTTATTTGTTTGTTTGTTTTTTATTTCAGTTTCTGCTGCTGCGAAGGCGCTGCGTCGGTCGCTGCCGCTTTATGGGCAGCCTTTTGACTGGACGCAGCAGCAGCTCCATCTGCAGCAGCAAACCAGCAGCAGCAGCAGCAGCAGCAGCAGCAGCAGCAGCAGCAGCAGCAGCAAAGGCTTCAGCTAGGGCAACGATTTAGCAGCAGCAGCAACGGCTGCAACGGCAGCAGCAGCAGCAGAAGCAGCAGCAACAGCATTAGCAGAAACAACAGCAGCAACAACAGCAGCAACAACGCCAGCAACAACAGCAGCAGCAGCAACAGCAGCAGCAGCAACAGCAGCAGCAGCAACAGCAGCAGCAGCAACAGCAGCAGCAGCAACAGCAGCAGCAAACACTTCAACTAGTGCAGCGATTTCTTTCGTTGACTCAGAGCAGCCAGCGAATGCTCTTGCTGCTGCTGCGGCTGCTGCTGCTGCTGCCCTTGCTGCTGCTGCTGCTGCTGCTGCTGCTGCTGCTGCTGCTGCTGGACGCAGCCCTAGAGAGAAAGGCAGCAGCTGCGTCTCTGCCTTTCGTTTTTTTTCATTTTTTAATTTGTTTAAAAGAAACATTTAATTTATTTTATTTAAATTGAATTTATTTAGTCAATTTAAATTCATTTTTGAGTTAATTTATTTCATTTAAATTTATTTTATTTCATTTATTTAAATCCATTTTTAAACCACTTCAAAACCCCCAACAATCGCCCGAAACATTTGGCCCCAAGAGCCATTACAAAAATTTCAAACCCTAAACCCTAAACCCTAAACCCTAAACCCTAGAGAGTATCTGGCGACGCGGAAGGGCTGCAGTTCAAGCTCAAATAGGCCGCAAGGGGAAATAAATATGTGTTAATTTTAGGGTTTAGGGTTTAGGGTTTAGCGTCTGGTGCTTAGCGCCAAGGGTTTAGCGCCTAGGGTTTAGGGTTTAGGGTTTAGGGTTTAGGGGGTTTTGAGGTTTGTATTTCGAGGGTTTAGCTCAATAGCTTAAGGTTCAGTTTTTAAAATTTGGGATTCAACGCGTAATTAGGTTTAGGGGCTTCTGGAGGGTTTAGGGTTTAGGGTTTAGGGTTTAGGGTTTAGGGTTTAGGGTTTAGGGTTTGGGGCCCACGGGGGCCCCTCTGTGAGTGTCTCGACACTGAGTGCACTTTTGCTGTGTTTCTTTTTTTCGTTTTTAATTTTGTTTTTGAATTTGTTTTTATTTTTTGTAAACAAAAAGGGAATAAAACAGCAGCAGGAGCACCTAGCTGCTGCTGCTGCTGCTGCTGCTGCTGCTGCTGCTGCAGCAGCAGAGCCTCGTTTCGGGTGTACGTTCACCCCAGCTGCTGCCCTCTGTGCATCAGTTGGGCCAAAATTATTTCTTAGCAGCAGCAGAAGCAGCAGAAGTTGTCTGCTGAGAGCTGCAGCAGCAGCAGCAGCAGCAGCAGCAGCAGCAAGGGCAGCAAGCAATCCGGCGAAGGCTCCTGCAGCTGCGGCTGCTGCAGCAGCAGCATCTGCTGCAGCACTGGTAGCCGCAGCAGGGCACCACTGAAGCGCTGCTGCAGCAGCAACAAAGCAGCAGCAGCTTGATTTGCAGCAGAAGCCGCAGCAGAAGCAACAGCAGCAGCTGCTGCTGCAGCAGCAGCAGCAACGGCAGCTGCTGTCAGCCATGGGAGCATGATCTGCTCTTAGCTGCATCATTTTCATTCCCAAAATGCAGCAGCAGCAGCAGCAGCAGCAGCAGCAGCAGCTGGAAGAGCTGCCGCCGGCGCAGCAAGGCGAAGGCGCTTCTTCAAATTCTCCAGCAGCAGCAGCTGCTGCAGCAGCAGCAGCACCAACTCCAGCTGCTGCTGCTGCCGCAAGCAGCAGCAGCAGCCACAGCGAGAGCAGCAGCAGCAGCAGCAGCAGCAGCAGCAGCAGCAGCCTGGTTGCTGCATCTGTGCTGCAGCCGGCGGCTGCCTTCCGGCCTTCTCCTGCTTACCCGCTGCTGCCGCCCTTAAGTGCTGCTGCTTTTGCTGCTGCTGCTGCTCTTTCGGGCACTTGGGAAGCAGCAAGTGAAAGGCCTTCGCTGTTGGAGCTGCTGCTGCTGCTGCTGCAGCAGCTCAGCACTGACAGCAGCAGCGCCCTGTACAGACACCTCGTCGAAAACGGACTCATAACTCCCCAGCAGCAGCAGCAGCAGCAGCGGGGAGGAGTGGGAAGCAAAGGCAGCAGCAGCAAGAGCTGCTGCTGCTGTGCCTGGGGTGTATGTACACCCTCCTGAAGGGGCCTCCCTCTATGATGAGGCTGAGGCCCCTTTGCTGGGGCCCCCGCAGCAGCAGCAGCAGCAGCAGGAACAGCAGCAGCAGCAGCAGCAGGAACAGCAGCAGCAGCAGCAGGAACAGCAGCAGCGGCAGCAGCAGCAGCAGCAGCAGCTGCAGCAGGTGCTGGAGCAGATGGCACTTGCTGCTGCTGCTGCTTTCGAGGTCATTGACTTGAAGCCACCAGCAGCAGCAGCAGCAGCAACGGAAGCTGCAGCAGCAGCAGGTGCAGCAGCAGCTAGCGCAGCAGCAGCTGCTGCTGCAGTGGGATCAAAGAAAAGCAGCCACCAGCAGCGGCAGCAGCAGCAGCAGGAAGCTGCAGCAGCAGCAGAAAGCGCAGGGGACGTTCGTTTTGGAAGGGTCCATCCAGTCAGCAGCAGCAGCAGCAGCAGCAGCAGCAGCAGCAGCAGCAGCAGCAGCAGCAGCAGCAGCAGCAGCAGCTTGTGCAGCAGAGCAGCAGCACCTGGCTTTCCGCCTTTTCGCCCTTATGCTGAGGTGTACAGACAGTGGCTGTTTTTCCAGCAGCAGCTCTACCCTGCAGGTACCGGCTCCGAGGGTTTAGGGTTTAGGGTTTAGGGTTTAGGGTTTAGGGTTTAGGGTTGATGAGGGTTTGTGTTGTTGAGGGTTTTGAAGGGCCCCTGCGGATCTCGTATTTCCTGGGGTTTAGGGTTTGGGCTTGGTGAGGGTTTAGGGATATTGCGGTTTAGGGTTTAGGGTTTAGGGTTTAGGGTTTAGGGTTTAGGGTTTAGGGTTTAGGGTTTAGGGTTTTGTTTTAGGGTTTAGGGTTTAGGGTTTAGGGTTTAGGGTTTAGGGTTTAGGGTTTAGGGTTTAGGGTTTAGGGGTTTAGGGTTTAGGGTTTAGGGTTTAGGGTTTAGGGTTTAGGGTTTAGGGTTTAGGGTTTAGGGTTTGCGCGCAGGTTTTTCTTTGTGCATATACATGGGGCGTTCGTTTGTGTTTTACTTGCTGCTGCTGCAGCTGCCGCTGCTGCTGCAGCAGCTAAGAGCAGCAGCAGCAAATGTCTTTTTGGATTTTCATTTCTTCCAGGGTTTATCTTCTTTAGTTGGAATCAAAAAAAGTCTTTTTCACTTCGTCTTCCAAAAAGCTGCTGCTGCTGCTGCTGCTGCTGCTGCTCCCGAGGCACGTGCGGTCTACATACACCTTTTCTATTCTCTGCTGCTGCTGCTGTTGCTGCTGCTGCTGCTGCTGCTGCTGTTGCTGCTGCTGCTGCTGCTGCTGCTGCTGCTGCAGCGTTTTGCGGAAATAGCGTTTTTGGCAGTTGCTGCTGCTGAACAAGTGAAGGGCTACGGGACGCGACTGATGAGTCACTTGAAGGAACTCGTCAAGAAAAGCGGCATCGAGTACTTCCTCACCTACGCAGGTAGGGTTTAGGGTTTAGGGTTTAGGGTTTGGGGTTTAGGGTTTAGGGAATAGGGTTTAGGGTTTAGGTTTAGGGTTTAGGGTTTAGGGTTTAGGGTTTAGGGTTTAGGGTTTAGGGTTTAGGGTTTAGGGTTTGTATTTAGGGTTTAGGGTTTAGGGTTTAGGGTTTAGGGTTTAGGGTTTAGGGTTTAGGGTTTAGGGTAGGGTTTATTTAGGGTTTAGGGTTTAGGGTTTAGGGTTTAGGGTTTAGGGTTTAGGGTTTAGGGTTTAGGGTTTAGGGCAGTGGTCAGCTTAGGGTTTAGGGTTTAGGGTTTAGGGTTTAGGGTTTAGGGTTTAGGGTTTAGGGTTTGCGGTTTAGGGTTTAGGGTTTAGGGTTTAGGGTTTAGGGTTTAGGGTTTAGGGTTTAGGGTTTAGGGTTTTGTACGGTTTAGGCTTTCGGGTTTAGGGTTTAGGGTTTAGGGTTTAGGG